CCATATTTTCTTGATCCAGTCTCCAGTTGATGGGCATTTGGGCTGTTTCCAAGTTTTAGCTATTACAAACTGTGCTGCTATGAACATGGGGGCACATATATCACTGTGGTATGATTCTTTTAATTCTTTGGGGAAGATCCCCAGCAGTATTTCACATATTCTTAAACACAGTGCTAGGCACAGAAAAGGCACTTGGTGAATGTTTCCTGACTTGAAGTATTGAGTTCATCTTAGCTAAAAGGCCAAGGAGTGATTGAATTGAACTCCAATTATATAAGCACACAGGCCCTTGATACAAATACTGGAAAGCAACACAAGAAAGGTTTTGAATATGTATATTTACTTGCATTTGTGTGAAGTGATGTATGTACAGTGTTAGCATTTGAAGTGAGGCTTGAAATGGCAAAAGTTGCAAACAACCTAAATGCCCTTTACTGAGGGACTAATTAAATAAATAATAATGTATCCACGTAATGGAACTTTATACAACTATTAAAAAGAATACAGAACACCTTGCCAATATAGAATGGTTTCTTAAGACATTTTTAAGTACAAAAAGAGGAAGTCAAAATAGTCTATTTTGTACAGAAAAGGAAAATATGTGCTTATATTTGTATAAGATATCTCTGGAAGTATACAACCTATTACCATTGGCAACGGGAATTGTGTGGCTACTCACTCCATTCCTTTGGAATCTCCCTCTCCCCTTTTCAGTTTGCAGGAAGTAGGACTGCAAGGCAGAGGCCTGTCCTCCCAGAGAAAGAAGGACTCTGTCTGTTTTCAGGGTTAGGACATTTACTTCAACTTCTAGCAGTACCTTTTCAGGGAGAGGGGTTCCTTAGAAGGCCATGAAATGCTCTGAAATCATCTCTCCAGCCAGACCTTAGAGAGAACATTTCCTGAGGTTTGTGGCTCCCACAGGGTCTTTTTGAAAGGTGATTTACTTAAGGTCCTTTAATCTAGAAACAAGGATTACTTTGGAAAAGTCAGGAGCTAAGGTGAACTAAACAGAGATTTTTAAGAAGGCCTTTATTCTTTTGAACAATCTAAAAGAAAACATAAGAGAAAGTATATTCTTTTCAAGATAGCATGCATCATGCTCTCGATGGAAGCCGACAGCAGCTGCTGCTAACATCCGTCTTTGTCTTCCCACCCCATCTCAGGCAGGCTACATCCTTGGACCAATACCCATGAGGTCATTCTCTACCTGACTAACAGAGCAAAGACAAACCTCAACTACCCACATAGCCTCAGACCCACCAGCTTGGGACATTTGGCCTGCTGATAACGAAAGGGAGAGCAGAAGAAAAGGGGGGGTAGGGATTAGACTCCAAGAGAAGTAAGCTATTTCAAAACACTCCGAGGTATGCTCTCAAGAGTGGAGAGACTACAGGGAAAGCAGAGGAAAAGACAAGGTGGTGGTGGGGCAACACAGGGAAAACAAAGGCAACCAGCGAATAAATACAGAGATGAAATGAGTTCTTCAGTCCCAGGGTTTTAGGTCAGAGCCCGGGTTACTTCAGGGTAATACTCCTATGTCCTTTCTGCTGGTCCGAATACTCATTTGCTTAGGAAATCTGTTTGGACCCATGTTTTCTCTCTTCTCCTTCTAGCCAATGCTATCTAAACACCTTTCCTTTCCTCTTACCAGGAAATCTACCCTTGGACAAAAAGCATGTCATTGAAAACCTTAAATAAATAAGTAAGTAAGTAAATAAATAAATAAATGTCCCTTTCCTCTCAAAGAGGCAAACCCTGGATCTTCCTGCTTTTAGATCACAATTGCTCAAATTGGCTTGATTTTCCATTTCTAGATATCTTTTTCTTCTTTATGGATCCAAGCAGTGGCTACTACATGATGAATATTTTTTAATGCAAGTTTTTCCCCAAAAGCACATGCAGACAAGCAGGCAGGCATGCGTACACACACACACAGTATCTCTGGCGCTTCCCCTCCTTCAGTCATTTTCCCTCAGCCAGCTGAACAAGGGCGAGGCTTGGAAATAATTTCTCTGTGGCCTACCTTCTGATTCTGTCAGGTCTGCGAAGCAGCTGGGTAACTGGAAGCTGGGAGGCCAGGGCTGGGCTGCCTCTGTGAATCAGCAAAGAAGTCCCTGAGACAGGGATGCCGGCAGCTGCTGTATGCACACTCTCCCTCTGTCTCTCCCACCTCCCTGCCCTCCTTCTCTCTTTCCTCCTCCTCCCCTCTCTGAGCTGCTCTGTGTTGCTACGCAATCATCAGCAGAACTAACAGCATTATTCTGACCTCAGCCAAAGATACCCTTGACTGGGCAAATGCAGAAAGAGAGAGGATAGTTTTGTAAAACTACCAGAGCTGTGGTGGCTCGCAGATTTCAATTCATTAGAAGCAAAGGAGGAAAGAGAAAGAGCCAGGGAAGCAGAGAGAGAAAGGGGAGCAGAGAGGCTTCAACTGTGGAGGAGGAGACAAAAGAGCCCTAGAGATCAGTACGAGCTGCTGAGCTGAGCAAGGAGCCTGGGCCCCAACTTACACAGATCTAACCCACAGCCAAAACCAACTTCAGAGCCAGCAGCTGGCAGGGGACCCTCAGTAGCTAGTCCAGGATTCAGTTTCTGTGTCAAGGGTTGAAACACTCTGCTCTAAAATTGCCACTGGTACTCAAGATACAGTCTTGGGCCCAGGGCAGTATGCCAGTGACCCCTGAGTCCTGTCTTCACCACTTCTTAGATCTTACATGTGGGGAAAAAAATCTCAAAAAGTGGTGAAAACAAAATGGATTTTAAATAATTTGAGAAAATACAGGTGTTATGTGCCTTCCTTCAATGACTACCCCAATCATTCTCCCTTTTTTTTTCTCAGACCAGCCTTTACTCTATTAACTATCACTTTTGTTAAAAGTTTGAGCTCCAAATATCCTGAGAGACCTGGGAGAAATCACTAATGCAATGGAGATATTTTCTCCTCACTGAGAGCCTAGCATAAAATAAACGATTTATTTAATAAATATACATTCAATGAACAAATTAAATGAATGGATGGGCCAATGAACAGCAGTCAGAAAGCCCCTGTTTCCATGCTCCTGCACAAATAGACCAAGACTTAAAGCCACAGCAACTCTAGGCCAGCAAAGAGTATAAGAGAAGCACACCCCCCCTTCCATTATTGAGAACAGTGTGTATGTGAGAGAAAGAGATTGGCTTGGGAGTGGGATGTTTAACTTCACTGATGGCCTCTGAAAATTCCATATGCCCTGGTGGCACTGGAACTTAGGACAGAAAATGCTTCTTGGTCCAGAGGACCTGGGACTAGTGTATACAAAGTGTCTAAAGAACTGAGAAGAATTATTATTTTAGCATTGCATTTTTCTTTATTTTTATTATCTTTTTATGAAGAAGGTATTTTAAAATTATTATTTATTTTTAATTGACAAATAATTATGCACATTTATGGGGTAGAATGTGATGTTTTGATCTATGTATACATTATAGTCAACCTAACTAATAAATATATCCATCACCTCACCAACTTACCATTTTTTCATGATGAGAATATTAAAAGTCTATTTTTAAGCAATTTTGAAATATATGACACATCGTAATGTAACAAATTGGTTACACAGTTTGATACTGTCATTATCGAAGCTTTCCACATTATCATTATTGAAAAGCCTCAGCTAGAAAATAACTAGCATGTATGTCTATATGTTTTTTCTTGAGATGAGATTTTAAAAATTGAAGCTGGTTATTTCAGGAAAAGGCTAGAAATATGCCTGATGTCTTCAAATCAAGCAAAATAAGAAACAACTGCCTCCACCCTTGAGCTTTCAGAACTGCAGGAATGGACCCTCTCGTCTGGCCCAAGCAGCCAGGCCTCCGAGTGAGTGCAGAAAATGTCTTTGGTTTCCGAAGGGACTTTTGGAAGCACAACCAGCATCTCTATATATCTTCAACAGAGAATTTTTTAGCTATCCATCCTAGCCTGGGATTGACCTTGCACCTTAGCCCCAGTCCTAGCCCTAATAGCCTACATGTTTATCAACACCATTTAGACCCAGGGCCCCAGGATCCTTTACAATTGACTTGGAATGATGTGGGGGGGGGGGTTGGCTGGAAGAAAGAGCAGAGGAAATATGCTGAGAATCTGTTTAGGCTGGCACAGACACAGAACGACTGTGACAGACACACACGAAATACATGGGAACTTGACTCACTGCTCACCTTGGCACCAGCTCACCAGCATGCCCAACAAAACCATAATCAAGATCAAGGAGAAGGAGGAAAGACTGAGCCAGATGGGGTACCTGCTTCCTACCTTGACTGCAGTTGGATTTGTCCAGATCACAAAGAATACTTGGAATAATCCCTTTCTTTTGCTATCTCTAGAGAAAGCATTTAGAATGCAGAAACAAAAATATAGTACCATGAAAATAAACCCACAGAGTTTGTCTTTAGGAGTACAACAAAAGGCTTGTTAAAAATCTCTCACAGACCCTCTCATAGCGGAAACTATCTCTCCTCCTTATTCTTTTGCTTAAGGCTCCTAAGGGCTCCTGTGGAAATGACACTATTACCTATGAGATTGAAAACACTGAGCCATTAGCAGCTTGTAATATCCAAGATTTAATTATTAGATTACATTAATAACAATGGTTAACATTATTGAGCATTTACTATAAAGTAGGCACTGTTTGAAGTGCTTTGCACGTATTAGTAGCTTAGTTCACCCTTATAGCAAACAGCTTCTAATACTACTCCCATTTTACAGATGCGGTAACACAGTGAGGTTAAGTGACTTGCCCAAGATTACACAGCTAATAAGTTATGGAGCTAAGACTTAACCTGAGCTGGACATGGTGGCACATACCTGTAATCCCAGCATTTAGGAGGCCGAGGCAGGAGGATTGGAAGTACAAGGCCAATCTGGGTTACATAGTGGGTTTTTTTTGTTGTTTTTTTTTTGAGACAAGGTCTCACTATGTAGTTCAGGGTGGACTTAAACTCACTATGTAGCCCAGGCCGGCCTTGAACTCACGGCAGTCCTCCTGCCTCAGTCTCCCTAGTGCTGGTACTACAGGCATGTGCCACCATGCCCACCTGGATTACATAGTGAAACCTTGTCTCAAAAAAACCCAAAAAGACTGCTGCTATCTATAGGTTGACTGTTTCAGTGTCGGGCCTATGTAAATCATTGAGACAAATATAACTAAGACAGAAGATTTCCCAGGATAGCTTACCTACGTTTTGTGCTGTGCGTCAAGCTATTTTTCATACTCAACATGTCTCCCTTTCCTTTAGAAATCAGAGACATAAGGGCCTTTGAAGTCACACTTCTTTTTCTAAGGAGTCCCAAGTAGGCAGACCCCACATAAAGTTAAGGCTGTGGAATACGAAAGGTAAAAAACAAATGACCTTTAGATGAAGTAGTGATTGCCAGGTTGTTATGGTCCCTGCACAGTCCACTACCCTCACCTATTCATGTATGCTTCCTGCTTAACTCCACGGGGCTTTGGAAAATGCTGTTTTGTAGGCCAGTGAAGGTGCATTCCTTATTGCTGTTGGTCTTCTGGAATATTTTGAGGAAGGTTGATTTTGTTTTGTTTTGTTTTTTAATTTCTGGGGGATGTTGGAATTAATAGAGTCTCTAGTTGTGTTTCAGAAGAAATAATTTGCTTTACCATATAACTGCATAGAAAAACCCCCTCTGATTTCTGCTACAAAAAAAAACAAAAGAAAAGAAAAAGAAAAAGAAAAGAAAAGCCCACTCTGACATTTAAACCCAGGGAGACTCATTTTTACCTACTAGACATCTGGACAAAGCGGAGGAAGCACAGCATGCATATAGGCTAGCCTCAACTATTTCTCTGAAGAGGACAAAGAAGGACAAAAATGGTCACATGCTCATACTTTAGCTTACCTTGGTAACTGGCAAGGGAATATTCAAAACCCACTTTGGCATCACTGAGCCAGGCTTTGCTAGGTTGACAAGGAAAGTAGGGCATTTCATTTCAAGTGGAGAGAAAAAAATGCGTAAAACACAAAGGTCAGAGAAAATGGCTTGCTAAGGGACTGTGAGTACTAGTTAAATGTGGCTAAGTTATGATAGGGCCATGGACAGGAAAAGGGAGAAAATGGTAGGAGATGAAATGTGCAAAGATCAGATCATGGAGGCACTGAAATCCTATGCTAAGGATCAATTAAAAAATTTTTTTGGTACCGGCGATCGAACTCGGAACCTTGCGCTTGCAAGGCAGGTGCTGGAACCACTGAGCTAAATCCCAGGCCCTCAATTAAAATTTTTAACCAGGAAAGTGGCATGATCAGATTTATGTTTTCGAAGTATCACCCCAGTGGCTTTCACTCAAAAAAACATTACATAGTGCTTACTACACACTGGGTTTTGTGCTAGAGCCCACAGGTATTAAAAAAGGTTCTGAAATTCCTTTCAAGATTCACACAGGCTAATAGGTGAGAAAATTAATTAAACATAAATATAATAAAGCACTAAGTGTAATGAAGGGTGAATCAGAGGGGAGAAAGGCTGGAATCTTGGGTGCCTGGAAGAAGGCAGTTGCAGGATTCATCTGATGAGGGTCTGAAGTAGGGCAGTGGGCAGCAAGAATGAAAAAAGGGTGCTTAGTTTTGCATTGGAAGAATGGGCCTTGTCCCCCAATGAATCTTCTGCATATTACCCTTGCCTTTTATCATTTTTTCCTAGCCTGATTATTTGCTAAGTTGCTGAAGGAGAAATAAACCATGAGCAGGTTTTTGTCCTTTGGGAGTGGGAGACATGTATAGTTAATCCCCATTGTTGTTTTTTTCCATTCCACAACCTTATTTATTGGAGCCCTAAGTTTATTGGAAGTACTATTTCAAATTAGTTTTACTCTTCCTAAACACCCAACCCCAGCTCACTTACCTCAGCAAAAAAACTTCCATTTATTGGAAAGGTGGAAGCCATTCCTGCAAAATTTTCTATATCAGGGCTGGGGATGTAGCTCATTGGTTCCATGCCTGCTTGGCAAGCACAAGGTCGTGAGTTCGATTCCTGGTACTAAAATTTTTTTTCTATGTCAGCATTTCTTGTCTTCCCTTTCCATCATCACCAGACAAAACAAAACCCTTTTTTTTTCATCCCTAAGGTCAACATTTCTATTCATGAGCTCAAATCATTCTCTCCCTGTCTCCCCTGAAATCTTCTTTATCCCCTCCTCCCACATTTTCAATCTTTTCATTACCTCTGACTTTTTCTGTTACCTAAAAACATGAAAGGAGCAGAAAGTTTTCTAACTCCTGTGATCTGGGAAGTGGGAAGGATGTTTCCCCACTAGACAAAGTCCCCTTGGCACTGTCCCACCCACTTCACACTTACCACCA